TTTGTCTAACAAATGCCTCCCTGATTCACTAGGGCACCAATTCTTGAAGACCCCTGGGGATCTCCCAAGACCCTATCAAGGAAGCACAAAAAAAATCAAAATTATTTTCCAAATATTGTAGATATTTGCAATTTTTTTAAAAAAAATCTCAACTCTTTTCATTGTTTCTTGTTAAAAAAGTATTGTGTTTTTTTATGAAAAATAATTATTTAATATTTTTATATGATTCAATAAATATTCTACAGATAATTTCAGTTTGAATTTTTTATATGGTACTGTAAATATTGATAAATGTAGCCCATGCAAACAAGAGCTCTGTAGGGTCCTCAGTAATTTTTAGAAATGAATTAGGGTCCAGAGAAGACTTTCAGAAACGCTGCACATGGGTATAAGTAGGAAAGGAGATAAAGCACAATCAGACTAAGTGGCTATGTCTATCTGAGCCCTTAAACCCAGGGGCACTCCATTGATTATTCTCAATGGGATATCAGCCTTATGAAATAGACCAGATAGAAACATGACCAGATGAGCTAATTCTACTTTATTGTAAGATTATATTTATAGAAACTTGTAAGTCTGAAAATACTTCCTTCCCCTGTCCCCTTTATAGCCCAGATAGCTATAGCACTTAGATTTATATCTTTACAGCCCTCTCTAAGCAGTTTACAAAGGCAGCATATTTCTCTCAACAATCTGGGTCCTCATTTTACTGTCCTTGGTAGGATGGAAGGTGAGTCAACCTTGAGCTAGTCAGATCAAAATGCTGAACTTCTGGTAGTCGGCAGAATTAGTCTGCAGTACTGCATTCTAACCACTGTGCCATCACTAGGGAAGGTCGCTTTTGAGCCTCTTGTTCCACCCACATTCCTGATGTGGGCTAAGCTGCCTTTTATCTTGTCTTTCAAAGTCATTCCAACATACCGTTACGGGGCACAGTTCCACATTTGAGACATGTGCAGTCTAGGGTTCCTCTTGGATCCTCAGTTCCTACTTATAGAGCAGGTAGCAGCTGTGACCAAGACGGTTTGCACAGACCCAGGTAGTATACATATTACCCTAGTCACCGCACAATTGGATTACTGCCATGCGCTCTACCTGGGACTGCCCTTGAAGATCATTTGAATACTACAGCTAGGCCAAAATGTGGCAGTGTGGGAAATGTTGGAGACACCCCACTGTTTCATGAGTTATAGTGGCTAGCAGTTTGCTTCTTGGATGTAATTCAGGTTTATCACCTTTAGCACCCTTCATGGCAAAGGATCTTGCTACCTGAGGGACTATCTATTTGCAGTTTTCTCTGCCTTTCAGGTAAGGTCAAACAAGATGAATAATTGGTCCCATCAATTAAAGCATATCATTTTGCCGGACCCAGAAAGCATGCCTGCTATGTTGCAATTCCTGCTCTCTAGAATGATCTTACCCCAGAAATTAATGTAATTTCCCCCTCTAATGTTGTTGAAGAAATTATTGAAAACCTGGTTATTCTCCCCAGGCCTTGGGAATAAGGTGAATGTGGAGCCTGGGTTGTATTGGCTTGGGTATTTCATTCTTCTGATTGGTGTATTCTTATATGTTGCTTGTAAGTTAGTTGTTGTTACAGACAATCAGGAATTGGGTGGAAAAAGAATGTTTATTGGGAAAACAGTATATGAGTTGGTAGCTATTTAACAATGTTTTAGGCAGTAGAGAATGAAAATCATCAGTCATTTATCTGTTTAGCTGTGGTGTGTGTTTGACTTGAATCCAACATATATATTTTTAAAAATGCAGTCTGTATATATCCCCCAAATATTCGTTGCCATAGTCAGGGCTTTTGCAGCAGGAATCAACTTTCAGTGCCTAGGAAAGGCTGCCGTAAAATAGCTACACATCTCTTAATTGTTTATGCCCCTACTGGTGTCTGACAGTTGGTGACATAGCCCACATATCAGTCTCTTCATTCTAGCAGGAAATGCTTAGAAGAAGCTTTTAGTAGTGTGTGGATTTGAGGGACTTAGAATGATGCAAGTATTACTGGTGCAAGAAAAATATTGATTCAGTTGCTGAATGTTGGAAATGTTAAAGACTATAGATTACATAGAAAAATATCAAACTACAAATGTTTGTTTACAAAAAGAGTGAATGATTTGTTTAATGTTTGTGTTAAAACTTTATCTGCTTGACAATTGAAAGAATACTATTATTCTTTCCTTGTACAAAAAGGCAGTAAAGGCAAAAAATATTAATTTGTTAAGCATGCTTGAGAAGAATGTTTGGTAGCACCTCATTGAATGTGCATAAAAAGTGACAATAACGTTTGTTTGGTATAGATTTATGTTAGGCAGAAAATTAGGTTTTTGGCCTGCATCAGTTATTAATAAATGTATGCATAGAAAAAGAAAAGTAAGACAAAGCATGTGATAAAATGAATAGGTTGGATTATGGACCTTTTTGTATAAAATTTGGAATAAATAGTTGATTTAGAATAATTAGGAGCAAATAAATAAGGTAAATGGATGCTTAATAATGGTTAGTTGAATGCATCAGCACTGAGCACTAAGACAAGGATTTGTAAAGCTGGTAGTGACCTTATAATTTGTTGGTTGGGAATATAAATGTGTATGTACTTGCAAGCAGCATGCAAACAATGCTGAGTTTTGGGCTGAAAGCCCAAATGGTTTATTGTGTGTGATGTATAATGTGGCAAAGAATATGAACAAATATGATATCCTAAAACAATTGTGTTTGGAAGACAAAATTGAGTTATACATAAATGGTGAAAAGCTAGAACATTAGATGAATTTTTAGTACAGACAAGTACATTCATGAATTAATTCTGATATGCAAATAGTTCTAGAGTAGTAGTTGGTTATATACAGTGGTGGGATTCAGCCAGTTCGCACCAGTTCAGGAGAACCGGTTGTTAACTTTCTGAGCAGTTTGGTGAACTGGTTGTTGGAAGAAATCATTAGGGCAGAGAACCAGTTGTTAAATTATTTGAATCCCACCACTGGTTATATATAGTCTATAGTAAAAAAAAATAAAAAATTCTGAAGTAAAAATTGTTGTATGTAAGAATACATGCCCATTTTATAATATAGGTAAGAATATAATCGGGGGAAAGAACAAAGTAAGTTGAATACAATGGAAATTATTTAAGAAATTGAACAAACATTTAAGAAATTAAACAAAAAGAATAAAACCAAGAAAGAATGGGTGCTCAGTAAATTTATATTAAATATAAATTACTAATATGAAATAAGTGTATTGAGGTAAATAATGATGAATTGAGGCAGAATTACTAAATAAATGGAAGGATAAATGGGTTGGGAAGAATAGCAGTTCAAAAACCTTGAGGTTGGATGAATTTAATGAGATCTTCAAAAAGTGAGAAATTAAAGTTTTTTTAAAAAAGGTAGTATGAATCAGCATATGTACTTTGACTATTTGGCAATGTTGGAAAAATATGAAGAAGTTTAGTAACTGGTGCTAGTATAAAGTAAATGTAATTGTAGAATTCCTTTTCTTGAATCTATATTTCTTATTTCTCTCTCTCCCTCCTTCCCCCCCCCCTCTGTAAAACATTCTATATATGCTGTCTGGTGCACAAAAGAGTAGGTTTAGGTTGGTCCATTAAAAACTTTCATAAAGTTTAGTCTGTGTACAAAATAAAATAGGATGTAGGAATCACTTAAATTGTGATAACTCTTTTAATATTAGGGAAATTTTGTTATAGAGTCCCCCCCTCCCCCTTTTGTTATGTGGATATCAGTGACTGCAGTGGCTAAGAGAAGTAGAGAAGGTGCTAGAAGATGGTCTGTTGTGATAAGCCATATTGCGGGCTGCATTTTCATTGCTTCTAGATGCTTAGTTTTACCCAGTTAAGAATTCCGTATACATTACTTGTTTTTCACAGGGCTCATTGTTCCTTATTTAGCACCACAGTTCTAGGCAAATTAATTTTCCATATATGCATAATTATTTGCTAGATTGCACGTTGGTGTCGCAATCCAGATTTTCCCTAGTTGATACACTGCATTTATATAGGACTTTATATTGCCATTATGAACTATTTAAGCTCATACATTTTCTCCTACCCTCCATGCACCCAGCTTTCCAAGCGGATTAGAAGTTTCCAAACCATAATATGCTATTTGCAATTTCCAGTTGTAGAAAGGTGCATGTGATTATGAGGCTTAAATCGGAGTAGCTTATGCCAGTGGTTTTATAAAACATAAAAAAAGAAGGAAGCAATACAATGTCAACTTTGGGCAGATAATTTTTTAAATAGGGGACAAAAGGTGAGTAGAAGTAATGATTTCTAATCCTTATTGATTTTTCTAAGCCAATTTTCTAGTGCATGTACATTACTTGGGTAGAATAGAATTATAAAAGGTAAAATAAATTAATCCTCAGCAAATATCTGTACTATATAATAGTAATGTAATTTTCATATATAGAAGAGGGGCTTCACCTTTCCCTTTTAAGTGATCCTTTCCAGTGGTTTCTACACCAACGTTTTTACCAGATGGATCTATTTTCAGTCTCAAAGCCTACCGGGAGTCAGGGTGATGGGACTTGGCTGGAGATAAAATATGGAAGGAAAAAATAGGAGATTGGGAAGGACTGATCAACTTTTATTGTCCCCAAAACATCTTCATCCACCCTTAAATTAGTGTTGTGTTGTCGTGTACAAAATAAATCTGCATATTATTGTAATGCATAATTTTGCATTGGATAAAATGCATATCTGATTAATTGGCTGAGTTTCCCATTAAGCTTTGTACTACATGTGTGGATTGCATAGCACTGTCTTCTTTAGACTGATGTGCAAGATGCCAGGCAACTTTGCTGTCATCACTTCAACAGAAGTGGTCAACAGGTCTTAGGAGATAATGAGAATTGTGTTCTAGCACATATGAAGATGCCAAATTGAGAAGAGTTAGTACTATCGTAGGTTTAGCAGTCGATTTGCAAATTAGGTTAGAGAATTACTTAATTATTCAATTTTTTTCTTATAGGCATACGAGGAATACACCAGCAAGTTAGATGCATTACAACAAAGAGAGCAACAGTTATTGGAATCAATGGGAAATGGAACTGATTTCTCAGTCTCCAGTTCTGCCTCAACAGAAACAGTTACTTCATCTTCTTCTTCTAGTCTTTCTGTAGCACCTTCATCTCTCTCTGTGTATCAGAATCCTATAGATTTATCACGGAGTAACCCTAAATCTCCTCAGAAGCCTACTGTTAGAGTTTTCCTGCCCAACAAACAGAGGACTGTGGTAAGACCTGAACAGCTGTCAATATTTCTCTTTCTAATATTGCCAAAGATACATGTCTATGGCTAAAACAAAGTGAGTCACAGGATTGGTGATATGTCATTCATGTACTAATGATGATTATTACGTAGTCAAATAAGGAAAGTATTGTCCACAAAAAATCCCAAATATTGTACTAGATTAGAAATGCAAATAAAGGGCTGCAATACATTATCAGTGGTAGCTTGGCAAAAAATTGTGAAAAAGGGGCAACATTAACAACTTCTATTTTGTACAGTATATGTTGGTTTTTTTTTCTTTTTTCATTTATTTGTTTACTTATGATCACTAATGGTGTTGTGCAGCATGTAGAATGAATGTATGTATGCTCAAAGGGCCAAACTATAAAGTTCTTGTCATATTCTGCTCCAGGTATGTTGGAAAAAAACATGTTGAGGAAATTTGCATGCTGTCTTTTTAATATCATCGTACTTCCAATAGTGCCTAGATGATGATGAGATTAAAGCCTCTCTGCCCAGCAATTAAAAATTATGTGTATTCCATTCCTGGGATGTGAGATAGATGATAGATAGATAGATAGATAGATAGATAGATAGATAGATAGATAGATAGATAGATAGATAGATCTATAGATAGATAGATAGATAGATAGATAGATAGATAGACAGACAGACAGACAGACAGACAGACAGACAGACAGACAGACAGA